TGTCATTGAATGTAGTAGGGATCAGAATCATCAGATACGTTTCACTCACGTCCCTATTTAAATTTGTCAAAATTTAACAATTTTTTTTTGCCTAATAATAGGAGGAATTATTTGGCATTTTACTATACTCTAATTAATAGATATTCTTATGAAAAGCATATAAAACTAACATTATTGTCGTTTTCAGTTTACATGATGTGATTCAATTTTCCTTTTGAAAGTTTGCGTGACTTAAACTTGGTACAAGACACGGACGCATGCATATGTTACAGTGATAAGTAGTACCTAGACTGTTTTCCTCTGCGTTATCAAAATATCGGCCGTGTTTGGAATTGATTCTATTTTTATTTTTCAAGTTTTTTGAGAAAGAAAAAATAAAAACGTTTTTAAAACGACGTTTGGCGTAATAAAGATAAAAAACGGAAATAAAAATGATTTTTTGGTTTAATGTAAAATGAGAGAGAAATGTTTTTTATTTTTTATTTTCGTTTTCTCCTCTCTCGAGCAGAAAGAGAGAGATAAAGAGATTAATGAATTTTTTATACTGAAATCAATCTCTTAATAAAACTACCAAGCACATTTTTAAAAATGATTTATGTCTAAAATTGAAAACATTTTCATTTTCATTTTCATACAAAGAAATAAAATCATTTTAGAACGAATTTCAAACGCGTCAATCACGTTTTACCTAGTGTTTTCACAAATACTACAATAAATTTTTGTGTTTTTGATTTCATATTAAAAAAAATTCCTTTTTGAAAAAATTTGAAACACTTAAATTGCAAAAGAAAAAAAAAAGAAAACTTTTGAACATATTTCGAAATACTTTAAATTTAACAAATTTGGTCAACCTTATGGTTAATATGGTCTTTTCGCAGCTTAAGTTTTGAGTAAATAACGTGAAAAACAGGTTTTTAACCTGAAATTTAAAATCTAGAGAATGATCGTGGTATTCTTAAAAGCACAAGGTAAATATATATATGTGTATATATATATATATATATATATAGTATTTCGATAGGACACATGAAAAGTTTATTAGATACTTATCCATGCATATTACAGGATGAATCAATCAGATATGATTTCTGAAACGACTGAACAATAAGCTAATAGCTGTAAGCCAAACGACCGACCTACTAATGCTAGTCTTTGAGTTGCAAAGTTTGAAATCATTAATCTCCTTAAAAAATGCGAATTATATTTCATTATTATGACATATATAATTTACAAAATTCAGCGAAAAATGTTATTTTCTTTCATATATTGGTGGTGCAGCTTTCCAAACATCAACCTCATATGGTTGCTCTGCATTCTTCCACTGCTCTATTTGCTGCTCCGTTGTTGGGGTTGATGGGAGTTGGCCTGTACAAGATACTCTGACGTTTAAGTCATGAAAACAGTCACAAAGTATTTCGGCAGATCAATAACAGTAAAAGTAATTGAAATAAGTTTCTTAGCTTAGGATTTTATATACATATTCTATTTATAGTGTTAGTGTCACGATTACGTAGATATTCTTGATTTCTCTTAATCATGACACATCACATTGTATTTAGATTAGGGTTTCTTAGGACATTCTTTCTAAGAAAATTCTCAAGAATGTTCATTCTCAGGACACATACATCGTTCTTGTTAATTCTGTTATAACTTTACACGTGACACGTCTCGATTGGCCACCCCAATAAAGGGGCGCGTCTCGGTCCTATGGGAGTCTTTCTCCCATTGGGGCAAGTATCGCCCACCCATTTCACCCGGATCGTAGGTGTGAAGCTAAATTATTGCATTTCAAATGTTAAACGACACATGCAAAAGCTTCCGCTTCTGAGTGCAACGACTGCTAGCGCTCAAAATGTTCCGAGTACTTAAAACAATTTTAGGACTCAAATTTTGCCTAGAAGTTGTAAGCGTCCCATAGGTAGATTGGGGGTTAATTTCTATGGTATTATTGCAGTAATTATTTATCCACAAATTATCAATTAATGTGCACGTTATAGTGACGACTAACTCTCTATTTATCTCATGGGGCTCTAACCCCACCTTCCCTCTTACGGTGGATGAGTCGTCCCACTAATTATCTCATGGGGTTATAGGGTTCGTTTAGTTCGTTGATTCGAGTTTTTAGTTTGAGTTGAGATGCGATTTTATGTGAGAACTATTTACTGTAGCAAAAAAGTTAGATGCGACTCTTTCTGAGAGCTTTTTACTGTAGCAAAACTCGAATTGGTGAAATGAACGGGGCCTATATTTTTTCTATAGTGATTATTAGTAATTACAATAATAATTTAAAATAATTGCTGATGTATCACTGGTATAAAAAAGTAATTAAAATCATCATTTGCGAAATACTGTTTTGAGTGCTATAAAAATTTACCATGCGTAATTAATCAAAAAAGAACAAAAGAAAAGTAGAGATCATGCTGGGCTGTACCCACGTAATGCATGGCCCCAATTTGCATGTGAAAGGGATATATAATATATGAGTTAAACAAATGCAAAATAAAAAAAAAATAAAAAAAATAAAAAAATTGTCGTTTGGGGTTAAAGCGAAGTTGTTGTTTTCCCCATTCCCCCCTTGAGATCAATCCAGTTTTCTACGCTCCCGACAAACCATGGTGGAGCTGCCCTTTATCTCTCTCTCTCCTCTCTCTCTCTCTCTCTTCATTTTCTTTTCGCCCATCTCACACTTTTCCCTTTAGTCAAGCCTACCTCAAAAAGAAATTCACATTTCAACCCCATCTCTTAAGCTTTACATGGAAAGTCATTGCGCAAAATCTCCTTTTCACACAACAATCATTCTTCCAACTCTTTTCTTTTCCTTAATCATGTATATTTACATTCTTAATTATCATGAGTACTAGAGGAGAAGTATTAAATGAAAAAAAAAAAAAAAAATTGCTAAGGTCACTTGTTTAGTCACTCTCTTTTTTACTTTTTTTTTTCGCCATATCTCATTTTACTTTTCAATAAAAATGAAGTATAACCATAACCCATTATTTTACAAGTTATTTTAACTCTGCCATTTTCTTTCTCTCTTAATAAAATATGTTTTAATAATTTATCACAAGATCACTTCTTTATAATATTACAGATTACAATTAAAGCAAAAATAAAGGTTAAAAAATTGAAAAAGAGGAATTTATATGTCATATATAAAGGCATCTTTCAAAAAAAAAAAAAAAAAAACCCCGTATACTTCAAAAAAAAAAAAAAAAAAAAAAACCCCATTTGAGTCCACAAATTTGGCTAAGAGGGAAAAAAAACTTGATTTATTATTATGCTTCATTTTTATGGAAAGTGGAATGACATATAACAAAAGTAAAATAAAGAGAGTGATAAAATAAGTGCCCTAACAATTCTGTAAATGAAATTAAGTCCTCGACAAAAAGTATTTTAGTTCCGTTTTATTCCGCTAATTAATGCCCAATCATTCGATGTATAGCTTATATATTAATTAATGAAGGCGGATGGTTAGTTTGGTAGAAACATCACAAAGGCATGGCCTCCAAGTTGGACTCAAAGCTACCTTCTCCCCCTTGCTTTTGAAATTTTTGTCACACAACAATGTTGTATAATTACCGGCATCAATTATTATTATTATTATTTTTAATCTGCAATAATTTAGAGAAGTGGCTAAAAAAATACAAAAATCTGATTGTGAAATTTTTAGTTGGAAACAAAATATTATATATATTTAATAAATATTTATTGACCTTCAACCTATAATAATTATCCACTTGTTTTAGCTAAATATTATTATAGATACTTAATAAATTGATCATTAGCCATAAGATTTTGATTCATTGTTATTCCCGTGAGTGTACATTAGCGCCGAAAGCTTATCAAGTGATGTTAATTAATTGTCACTATCCATACACTGAAAAGCATTATCTATATATATGTGACTACTTTTTACTTTATCGTGTGATCATTTTAGTAACACCAAAATTTTATATGGTATCCCAGTATCCTACTCCTGATGAAACGAGCTATATATATATATATATATATATATAGATGTATGTATTCAATACATGAGAGTGTATAGTATGCAAGATCCATGAATTTTTATGTTTTAACTATTTAACTGTCATAACCTATGTTTCAAAGGAAATTTCACTTGTATTGAACGTTTCTAAATGTTTATATTTTAATTAAATCTCATCATCAGAACGTATTTTTTGGTTATAAGAAAATTCTCCGATAGCATATTAAATATTTTGGTAGGGTATAAAAAAAAAAAAGAAGAAAAAAAACATCCCTAAAATACAGTTTTTAACCAGGTATTATGAAAATTTCAAACTTATTTAATCTGATTTAACGGTTAAATAGAAAGGGTATCCTATAATTTTTTTTTTCTACACATAAAATTATCCTTCATCACAATATAAATGTAACCACAATATAATATGCTTATTTAAGAAGCTTTCTCTTATATTGTCGTTTAGATTATTCAAACGCTACCTATATAATATTTTGGTCGTAGTAGTTAGAGATGCATAAAGTAAAAGTACCAACACCATATCTATCTCTCCAGCTACCTATCTATGTAAAAGATCATTAATCATGTCAAATAATTGCAACGTATCACCTTTTTTTTAAATTTTTTTTTTTTTTAAAATGCAACCGTATCACCTTCAGCAACAACGAAAAAAAAAAAATAAGTATAATTTCGAAAAATAAAAAAGTAGTATCTAGAGAGAGAGCGAGAGAGAGAGAGAGAGAAATTTCAGATTAGATAAAATAAACTAAGAAAAGATTAAGTAAACACAATCTCATGTAAAGATTACCAACTGGCAATGAAGCAGGCAAATTTTCCCCAATCTTCTCATCACTTTTTTGTGTGGGACGTTATTGAGAAAGAAAATTCACCTGCTTCATCGACCCTTTAGGTAATCATTGAACTTATTACAACATACCACTATGAAACACAAACTCTCTCTCTCTCTCTCTCTCTACATACATATAGTTTTACATATAATATAAAAATTATTGTAGTGTTTTTTTTTTTTTTTTTTTTTTTTTTTTTTTGCCCAAGTAATGTCCATGCAGCAAGTGCTCCATAACAAACCGCTCCCAAACTGCATGAGAATTTTTTGTTACCGAGCACGAGCTTTTCTCGGACACCATAATGACTAACTTTTATGCATACCCTAATCTTATCTTAGTATTCTCCGAAGAAAGCCAGTTTTATCAAACAAAAGCAGACACCCACCAACTGCTTGTGACTATGCGTGAACGAGCTCTTCGTCCTCAGAGCCAGCAGTGACACACTCCTTTTCGTCGTGGTCGAACCCGTCGAGCGACGGGTGCGGGGAATGCCCCTTCCCGAACGATCTAATGTGATCTTTGAGGGACCTCTTGTGCTTGAAATCCGAGCCGCAAGTGCAGTACCAGAGCTTGCCGCAGTTCTTCTCGTGCGTCCTCCAGTCGCCTTTGACCGCGAAGGTCTTCCCGCATTTCCTGCAGCTGAAGGGCTTCGCGCCGTGCTTCCGCTTGTAGTGGGTTTGGAGGGTTCGGAAGTCCTTGAGCGGCTTCGCTCGCGGGTGGTTGATGTTGTTCTTGCAGCCCTGAGCGCAGCAGTAGCATGGCAGCCTCAGCATTGCTGCTGGCTGTGTTCCTTTCAGAGACTCTGGTCCTTTTCTGTACTCGGATCCATGTCCCCACATGTGCATCTGTAAATCAATCATTTCATTACTATATGCTTAACTAGGTATTTGATATGATGATTCGTGTCATAATTTAAATTATGGTTCGTCGTTCGCTACAGTATTTGTTTTCATAAAAAATATATGTAAACCGATCATAATTCTGAATCCGTAAACCAAACATACACTAAGTTTGAAGAAAAAAAAAAGACAAAAAGTATCGTTTTATGTATGTGCAAAATTTGCAAATGATCTCAGACTAGCCATTACAGAAGTTTTATTTATTTTATTATTTATTATTCTTTATTCCTTAAGCTATTAAATACGGGTTGGAAATAATTCAGAAAGTTTGATTACACTGCATGAGTGTATGTTTAATAAGTGTGTGATTGCAATTATCTAGAAATTTAAAATTATCGAGTTTGGTTTAATGATCGAACTCTTTCAAGTATTTGATGTGATGGGGAAGGATATAGTTGTTGGACAGTGAGAAGAGAGAGAGAGAGAGAGAGAGAGAGAGAAAGCAGATGCATGATATGTTATCCAATTCAATCATTATAATGTGTGTACAAAGAGAGGATTTGGTGATCTCGCAGGTTGGTGGTTAATTTGGCAAGCTGATCCAACTAGTACGGCTTGTTTCTCATGTCGAAACCAGGAAATCATTATTGAACAGAAATGAGAGACAAGAAAAGAAAAAAAATAAAAAATAAAAAACTGGAGAAAGAAGAAGAAGGAAGTAAAGAAAGTGAGCATTAAGGATATTTTCTAAATCTGGGGGTCTCCATAGGAAATCCTGAAGAGATCTAGAAGCTGAAGTGCTAATTTGGTAAGGGAAAGAAAAAAAATTCCTTTGGGACAATAGAAATTTTTCTTTCTTTTGTTTTTTGTTTTTGTTTTTGTTTTTTTTTTTGTACTTTTGAAATTCAATAATCTTTTTCCTAGGGAGAAGAGAAAGGAGTTATCTTGATTCATTCACTATTTCAGGTAATACATATATAATATACATGCAAAAGATCACCCGTTATAATGCAACCCGGACCTAGGGGGTAGGTTTATCACTTCTTTTTCTACAAAACAAATAATGGAATTTGGTGTATTTTTGATTCAATTATCATGATAAGTAAACATATCGATTTTAATATGTTAGTAAAAAAAAAAAAAAGAATAATAGATATCTATATAAATGTTCAAAAGAAAAAAGAAAAGAACATCATAATTGGGATGAGATCTGATCAGATTAATTAATTTCATTGGGATTGAGAAGGATTTAAAATAAGACAGAGAGTACTTATTATGTAGCTCACAAAAAAAAGTACAAAGATATCCTATGCAAGAGCTGAATATATAGTACTTGTTATAGACTTGAAACTTTATACATATAAATGATTGAAAGAGATCTATATATACATTTTTTTTTTTTTGTATGTGATATTGTTAATTGATTAATTTAGCGTTGGATTGGCTCTCCTTTCCTATGACACACACACATATCTATATATCTATAAAAGGGTTCATTAATTCTTATTTTCCCTCTATGAAATTAAAATGAATGTCAAGCTGTATTAATTAAACTGGAATTTTTCCAGCCCAGAATCCATTTTATATATCTGTGCGCCCGGGAGTATATATCTGCGCGCGCATATATATATATATATATATATATGTACATGTATTATCCTATGTATATCAAGAAATTTAGTGGCCAGAAATATACTCAGATTCTTGCACTCAATTATTAAAACTAGTTTGGAGTTTTTCTTCCCAAGGGCAAGCAGAAAGGAAAAATATCTATAAAGTTTTTTATAAGTCGCAAGAGGCCAAATATCAATAGTACTACTAGAAACCAATGGGATGAAGAGATGCATACATATGCTGCATATATACAAAAAAAAAAAAAGCAAAACAAAACCAAAATCAAAATCAAAATCAAAACAAAGAAGTAAGTGATAAATAAAAAGCTAAAAAAAAAATGGATTTACCATCAGGAAGTACTTTCTAGACATTTTTTAGATACTGCAATTAATCATGCATATATGAATATATCATGTAGATATTATTTGTTTGTTTGTAACCAAAAAAAAAAATCATATAGATCTTAAAAAAACAAAAAATTTAGGGAATAATAATTATACAAGGAGAAGTTGAAATGGAAGAGTGAAACAACATAATTAACTAATTACCTGCATGTTATTGTACCTATTGAAGGTCTTGCTGCATATAGAACAAGAAAACTGCATTGGTCCAACAAGAATCTGCGCAGGAGTCGGAATCCAAAACCTACTCTCCATATTAAAAGAACAACCATATTGAAAGCTCTTCCTCATGGGCTGTTTCTGTTCTTGATCTTCCTTGATCAGATCAACAACAACTTTCTTCTCATCATCATCATGATCACCGGAATCAACGGTTCTTGTTGTTGTTGTTGTTGTTGTGTTGGGCAGTCCAATGTGCAAAGACAATGTAACTTTCTCTATATTTTTCTCTTCTTTGATTCCAAAAGTACTTTCCCTTTTCACCCCAAACTCCTCCAACTTCAGAGGCTTTGTCTCAGTAAACCTGCTTAGAAGAGGTAAGCATTGTGTAGTACTTGTACTACTCTTCTGAAGATCAAGATCTTGATGAGTAATATTAGAATTCAAAGATGAAGATGAAGAAGAATTAGAAGAAGAAGAAGAAGAAGAAGAATTATTAGAACTATTATAAGGTGAATTTGGCTTAAGCCATTCTATGAAAGTAGGAGCTTGAAAGCACAAGTTGTTTTCCTGAAAATGGTGATTCCATAAACCCATAATTCTTCAGAGAGTAATTCCTTGAATTTCTCTCCTCAGAGAGGGTTCATAGTACTCCAGACCTTTTGTGGGAAAGCCCTTGCACTTATATGGTTGATTTTATGAAAGGTGGTTTCGTTTGTCTTTTTCGGAACCTCTTTTCTTTTTTATTACTTAATTGTTATTCTTTTTCTTTCTTTATTTCTTCTCTTTCATTCTTTTTCTCCCCTTTGGTCTTTGTTTGGAATTGGAGAGAGAGATAATGGTGGGGATAAGGAAAATGACATCTATAATATTGCAGGAAAAAAAATTGAACAAAAAAAGAGAATCCTAGAATAGTCTAAACTACTATCCATATTGTCAGCTTACACGTTTTTTTTTTTTTTTTTTTTTTTTTTTTTTTTTTAATAATATCAAGGAATTTGACCATATGCACTACTCATATTTTCTCATTAAAAAACTCAAAAACTATCGATTACACACGGCATGAACTGATGAACTAAAATTGAAGAAAGAAAAATATGAAAGAGAAAGGCGTATATTGAATATTTAGTCAATACCTAAAAGAATAGGAAAACAATATTTAAAAGAAGCAAAAAAAAAAATAAAAAAATAAAAAAATCATCCCCTGAAAAGGGTTGTTGATTGATGTGAAAAATACGCGTCATACAGTTTAACTTCCATTATCACACAATAATATTCTATAAATATGTGCAATGACGACTTATACCTAGTTTCGAAGGATTTAAAGATTAAGTTTAAATTTCAACATATGCTGCGGAAGAGCAACAGATTGTTCTTCAGTGCAATGATATTGATGTATGAATTAATAGTGTAAAATTAAACGGCTCCTTATGTAAATATATCAAAATCTTCAATCTCAAAAATATACACACGTAATACATTTGCCTCTTTTTTTTTTTTTTTTGTTATATTTGTAAGTAGTTAGTAGTTACCTACTAATTATAATGGTGGTGATATAGTGGCGAAGGACGATTTAATACGACTCTCGTTTTTATCACTCAGAGATTGATTTTTATTGTCCGCCATAAGATTGAAATTATATCTCTCATCATCGGCCTTGAACTTATGAATGCCTTACCCCCTTTCTAGATCCACCAAAACAAATATCACACACATACAAAACTAGTAATGTTTCTCCCCCTAAAAAAAGGAAAAAAAAAAAGAAAAAGAAAAGAAGAACTACACACATAATACATTTGCCTCTTTTCTTTTTGGTTATATTCGTAAGTAGTTAGCAGTTACCTACTAATTATAATGGTGGTAATATAGTGGTGAAGGACGATTTAATACGATTCTCATTCTTATCACTTAGAGATTGATTTTTATTGTCCGCCATAAGATTGAAATTATATCTCTTATAATCGGCCTTGAACTTATGAATGCCTTACCCCCTTTCTAGATCGACCAAAACAAATATCACACACATACAAAACTAGTAATGTTTCTCCCCCTAAAAAAAGAAAAAGAAAAAGAAAAAGAAAAGAAGAACTACACACATAATACATTTGCCTCTTTTTTTTTTTGGTTATATTTGTAAGTAGTTAGTAGTTACCTACTAATTATAATGGTGATAATATAGTGGTGAAGGACGATTTAACACGACGTATCACTTAGAGATTGATTTTTATTGTCCGCTATAAGATTGAAATTATATCTCTCATAATCGGCCTTGAACTTGTGAATGCCTTACCCCCTTTCTAGATCGACCAAAACAAATACCACACACATACAAACCTAGTAATGTTTCTCCCCTAAAAAAAAGAAAAAAAGGAAAAAAGAAAAGAAAAGAAAAGAAGAACTACCTAGTACATTAGTGTTTCGGTTGTGTACACTAGTGTCCCACGTCAACGTGGATCTAATATGCAAAATCTTTGTAATATCAAGATAAAAATCTAAAAGATACTAATGGCACAATCTGTTGAGATTAAACGTACCGGGCGAAGATTGACCTCACTTGGCAAATCTTTATGTGACGCCATATTCCAGCAATACTAGTTGTGCCTGGATTCTTTGTCGTTTCTTGCGTAGTACAATATTATCTGTACGTTTTGTTCACTCCTTGCCCATTATTGCCCGTTTAACAATGTGACCTCCATTTCATGAACTAGTTTTAAAATTCATAATATAGAAGCTTAATTAGCCTATTATTGCAGATTTCATAATGTGGCCTCCAATTAACTTGTTCTTAATTTGCAATTAGAAGATTAGTTTGCAAATCTTCTGCAATGCTTCCCCGTTATATGTTGGTACATTAGTTATTTTCTAGGCTATAATATTTCCCTTTTATCTGGCTCAGAATTACATTTCTGTTTTTTTTTTTTTTTTTTTTTTGGGCCAGACAAAGAAGAATCGTATTGTTATACTACTTAAATTTAAAGCCGAAACTATACCTAAGAAAAGCACCAAAAAAACATGAATATGGTAACATTATGCAATATGCAATATGGTAACTCTCTCCTATATATATCTACTAAAACCCCATCGTTTTTTCAGCCGGAGAGGTTGATTATACTAGAACTAAGGATATATCTCAATATAAAGCGGGGATGAGTTTCGCTCAATCAATTCTAGATGTACAATTGTGGGTGTATTTTGTTTATAATTTTTGTGTGCATTTATCCTTTTTTTTTAAATCAAAATTATAGTTTCTAATAGCCAGATGATCAAAATTGATCACATTAATTTGATCCCATAATGAACGATATACGTCATATTCGCTTCGCTAGTTTAAATTACAACTTAAAATTTTGCTATACTATTTGAATCACACATGAATTTATTTTTTAACTTAAGTTATCAATCGAACGAGCGAAAGTAACGAGGCCATAAATTTGTTATAGGATAAAGCATAAAAAGCTACATTTGAAAGTCCAGTAGGCGCACACCATTTATTTGAAATTGAAAAAGTTACCTTTAAAAAAATTACAGTACTATACATGCTGATTGATCATTGGCCCCACTCATTTTTTCTCAAGTACAAATATGTTTTCTATATTTCTAAATTTTTCTTATATTGCTTCCTAATTTACTTCTTATGAACAATCGGCAACGCGTTATAATTACATTCATGAAGTAATTTACTACAATTCAAAGTTTAAAGAATATCTTGTTAATTGGCAAAAAGTTCAAAGGATAAAAACGTCAAAAACCTAAAAAGAAAAAAATTGCTCATTAACTCCACAATATAGGCCCTATCTTATGTACATGATCTACTAAATGATGGCGCTCGTGATGCCCTTTAGCGTTGCTTTAAGGGGAGAATTCTTTTTATGGCTTTCTAGTACCTGCCCTGCCTTGTAGTTATATCGCTTATATTTAGGGGACGTTTAGTAAGGAGATTCGTACCCTGATTCGAATCATAGTTCATAGTTCGTTACAGTATTTTCTCTCACAAAAAATACACGTAAAATAAAAATGGTTCTAAACTCATGATTCTAATCTATGAACTAAACATCTTCTTAGTGTTTGGGGCACAAAATTATTATATGAAATTCCTAAATATTCAAGTTCTCAGCTAGGAAAGCTATAATAAGTGTGGTAACTGTTGTACCACTGCCAAGTTACTTCGATGGGGGTTGTCTCAGACGTTGAGTAAAATAGAGCGGACCGTCATGTCTAGCTGAAAACCATCAGCTCGGCGGGCATGAAGGCTGACGACAAGCTTATCGCTTGTAGGCCGTCGATCCAAATCCCAGATTTTAAGGAATTTAAATCAGGAGGCATTGTACCCCTAATTCGAAATTTGAATTAAAAGGGAAGGTTGACCTCGAAAATTGTACAATGAGGAAATCTTAAGTTGTTCATCCCAACCAGTCTAACAAATATAACTTTTTTGTATTCCCGCGAAAAGTTAATTTACCATGTTGTATGGATGATGAAAGTAAGACTTTGCCTTCAAACATAATTAGTCTTTTGTGTCTTTATTATAATTTCTAAGATTTAATCTATATATACATGTTAAACGTAGTTTGTTTTGTGAAACCTTTAATTTTGGTTTAAAGTTATAGTGAACTTATACTTTATTTTTGTTATAAATTGCTATAGTTTTGAAATGTATATAATTATATTAAACGAGGAATTTGACAGGTATGGAGAAGGCCTTCTAATAAGGAATCCAGGCTCGTCGGATGGAGGCTTGGATGGTGATGTTTTTAGTGGGGCGGAGATGGGGACTGAAAATGATTCTCCGCCCTGTTCTGCCCTTCCACTCTTTTGACATTAACGCTCATGCTCTCTTGCAATTCTCTCTAATAGCTAATGAATTTTTTTTCAAGAAAACCCTAATGGACGTGGCCCTTAATTGAAAATGAACCGCCTATATATATATATATATACTTATATATATATATATATATAATATTCAGAAACACGTATTACTGCAGACAAAACTTGAGGAACAGACACTACAGTAGATAAAAGGTCCATGCTAATGCTATTATTGTTGTAGTTGTTCAAGTATAAAATAAAAATGTGTAGTATTCTATTATCACACATGGAAAAGGTATAAGGTTTTTGAGCGCTTTATAAAGGGTCACACTCTCCTAGTCAATTAGGAAAGTATTAAGGGACACACTCTTACTACATATTCATTAAAGGCTCGTCATATCTAAAAAGTGTGTATTTCATACGTGTTTTAAGTCTTCGTAAACTAAGACCGTGTTTGAAATTGATCCCGTTTTTCAATAAAGAAAAAATGAAAACGTTTTTAAAATGGCGTTTGGCGCAATAAAGACAAAAAACGAAAATGAAAATAATTTTTTGGTTTAGTGTAAAATGAGAGAGAAATGAAAAACGAGTTTTAGTCGTTTTTCATTTTTTGTTTCGTTTTCTGCTCTCTCGAGCAGAGAGAGAAAGAGACATTAGTTTTTTAATACTGAAAATAATCTCTTGATAAAACTACTAAATGCATTTTGAAAAATAATTTATGTTTGAGATTAAAAATGTTTTCATTTTCATTTTCATACAAAAAATACAATTATTTTGAAATGAGTTCCAAACATGCCCTAAATTTCCAACAATTATCCCTTGTTTAG